TCACAGAGGCTCAGAGAGTGCACAACTCCGCAGAATGCAGCACCGCGGCTCAGCCTCTTTCACGCGGGAACCTCGGCCGGAGGGGCGCCAACATGGCAACCCAAGACCCACAAACTGTGGTACACACCATACCCAGGTACACGCAGAAACTCTCCTGGCCGGAAAAGAGGTGGGACCCAGAGTGACGTGGGCGGGGCAGGCCCACCCTAGCGCTTACGGCTCCCCACCTTGCTCAGACCACGCCTCTCGCCCATCCTTCGGCGGCGAATCCCGCTGCACCACGCCCATGTTCCGCCCCTCACTCAAACGCTCCACCTATATCCCACCTCCCTGTGGCTTGCCCACCGCGGACTGTCCCTGAACCCACCCAACGCTGCTCTAGAAGTCCCACCTCTCAGGGGTATTACACACAACTCCTCCCTCCATTTTCCCATCTGCCACGCCCCCACCTACCCTCTCGGTCCTGGCGGCCTCTAATCTCTACACCCTGCTTCTCCCGTCTCCCTGCGGCCTGAGTACATGGTTCTTGCGCCCTCTGCAGGCCGGATTCTCGGCTTCCTCCGAGCTTTGTAGAGATAAAACCCCCATCCACCCACAACCAACCATGGAAGAGTTAGTAATGTTTCACTTGCTTTCAGGCGTTTTCTGCCTCCTTACTTTGTCAAGCACTCTGCCCTTTCTTCGGCCTCTCGCACAAAATGAGGTCGGACAGGAACGCCCTCTACTTCTACCGCCAAACCTATACTCCTACCTGTGGCTGCTCCACCCTCCAGAGCAGGAAGGTGTAGGTCTCTTCTGCTGCAACAATGATCTACTCTAGAGCTCCCCTTCCGCCTCTGCCGCAGTCTGGCAAGTCTAAAATTGTTCTGGTTACTGGGGCGTCAACTTCTTCCCACCCTCATCTGCTTCTGTTAGATCCCTCTTTGCCCAGACGGTTTAAATGTAGAACTCTACATCTAAATGAATGAGACTATATGGACTGCCTAGAACGTACGGGTAATAGTTTATGTATTTTATTTGATCCTTGAGCTACCCTTGGGGATAAATGCTATTGAAGAAGTAACAACGACCATTGTAGAGGTCAGAAGGAAAGGGCAGCTCACATGTATGACTCAAATTCAGACTTCAGGTTTTTAATCAGCTTTCCCTGGCATCATCAGATCTTGATGAAGAATGATGGTCTGTCCCCAGCAGCCCTGCCTCTCTGTCAGTGGGCCGTGGGCAGAGCTCAGCCTCCTTGGGAACAGAGGACAAACTCCTTCAGCTCTGTTATGTGTAGGTCACCTCATACCCAACCAACCCCAGGGCGGTATGAGTCCCAGCTAAAGACACTCAGCGCCAGTAACTGAATGTGGGGAGCAAGAGGAGCAGACTGCTGGATGCAGAATAAGGGAAGCAACCTCTAGCCGGACCCCAGGCCCATTTTCTGCTCACACAAGCCCCAGGGTAAGATGATATTTCTCTTCCTTCTGGACCACCCATTAGTTTGTAGGAAGTCTCCTGGTGTGGAGATCGCCCTTCTGAGCTAAGATGGGCCTCCTGACAGTCACTCACCTGATAAAATGACAGTCATTTTATCAGCTTCCTTGTCTCAAAAGTGAGGAGTGGGGAGAGAGGGGAGAGAGAAAGGAGATGGAAGGAGAGGGAAAGGGAGATGAAGGAGAGAGAGAGAGAGAGAGAGAGAGAGAGAGAGAGAGAGAGCAAATGCTGATTAGCATTCCCCTAAGCAAGTAAGTTTAGGTATGTAAGGAGTCACTGTCTCCCGATAGTTCCTACGTCGAGACTTCTTTTCTTTTGTTATACTGGGATCAAACCTAGGGCTTTGAGCATGCTTGGTTGTCACTCCTCTACTGTTCAGCAATAGCCCCAGGTCTGAAGTGTGTGCTCTTCCAGCTCCTACAAACTATAAGTTTTGCCTTCATGTCACTTCTGAGTATGAATGGGCAAATTGATGGAGAGGAACAGAGACTAGAGTCAAGAGCCCTGCCACCTTATGTGGCTGAAGTATGCCAGCCTCTCCTCTGGCTCCCCTTGTGAGCACCTTGGCTAGGCACCTGGCTGTCTTGGATCACTTGGAGCTGGAGTTACAGAAAGTTGTGAAATGCCATTGGGGTATCTGTGAGCCCCAGGCTTCTCATCTGTGAAGAATGAATGAGCGCTGTTGATGACTGCTTCACTCACTCAGCAGGTAACCCTGTGAGGTCAAAGCTGCAGAAGTCCTTGGGAAAAACCAATATGGAAAGGTCAGATGGTCAAGGTCATGTGCAGGATGGACCTTGGAACTTAATAGAACCGTGTGTTCCAGGTAAGGAGCTATCTATCTGAAGGGGAGATCTTACTTTCAACTGCTTTCCAAAGCCAAACAGAATCTCTGGGACACTACCTGTACCCTCACATTAGGATTTCATTAGTTAGCGTCTCTTGCTCACTTTACACTTTACACTGTCATTAGTTGCTTGGTTGACTCTTTCCAAAAAAACCAACCAAACAAACAAACAAACAAAAACAACTAGGACCTTTATAGTAACTTCTGTCTTATTCCTGTATCCTACCACTGGAACAGCCTCAGACCCATCTCAGATCTGTGCTAATCAGCATTTGTATCCTCCCTCCGTCCGTCCCTCCCTCTCCCTCCCTCCCTTCCTCCCTCCCTTTCTCCCTCCCTCCCTCTCTCCCCTTCCTTTCTCTCTCCCCTTCCACTATTTCTCTTTCCTTCTATCTCCTTTCTCTCTCCCCTCTCTCCCCAGCCCTGTAGGATCTCTTTTAACCCATCCCAGCCTCAAACTCTTCCTATAACTGAGGATGACTTTGAACTCCTGCCCTCCTGCCTCTTCCTCCCAGGTGTTAGGATTACATGCACCACTGTGCCTGGCTTTTTTGCTTTGTTTTAAGAGTTACTCTTTGTGTGTGTGTGTGTGTGTGTGTGTGTGTGTGTTGCATGTATGTATGTGCACCATGAATGTGACTACTGCTTGAGGATGCCAAAAGAGAGGTTCACTTACGAGCTGTCATGTGAGTCCTGGGAACCTAACCTGGCCTCTACAAGAGTATAAGTGCTTCAAAACTGATAAGCTATCTCTCCCGCTCCTGGCTTTGTCTTATTTAATTTTATTGCATTTACACAGTCCTCAAACTATTTTTGTTTTAGTATTTTTGTTGTTGTTGATTTTGTTGTTCCTTTTGTTTTGTTTTGTTTTGTTTAAGACAAGGTCTTATTATATATAACCCAAGCTGGCCTCAGCTTCCTGTCCTCCTGTCTTAGCCTCTAGATTTCTGAGGATCATTACAGACATGTATTGGAATTTTTTGTTGTTTAGTTTCTTTGTTTATTTTTTAAATGATTTGTTTATTTTTATTTTATGTGCACTGTGTTTTGCCTGCGTGTACATCTGTGTGAGGGTGTCAGAAACCCTGGAACTGGACTTACAGACAGGTGTGAGCTGCCATGTGGGTGCTGGGAATTGAAACTTGATCCTCTGGAAGAGTAGCCAGTGCTCTTAACCACAGAATCTCACTATATAGATCTGGCTGGCCTGGAATTTGCTATATAGACCAGGCTGGCTTCAAACTCACAGAAATCTGCCTGCCTGTGCCTCCCAAGTGCTGGGATTAAAGGTGTGCCCCCCCCCCCCGCGAGTGTATGTATGTTTTGCTAGGATTGGACTCTGGACCATATACATACTAGACAAGTTCTATATCACTGAACTATATCCTTGGCACATATCGTCCGTCTCTCCTGCCCCCCCCCTTTCTTTTAGATTTATTTATTTTGTATTCATTGCTCTGCCTACATGTATGCCTGCAGGCCAGAAGAGGGAGCCAGATGTCATTACAGATGGTTGTGAGCCACCATGTGGCTGCAGGGAAATGAACCCAGGACCTCCGGAAGAACAGGCAGTGAGTGTTCTTAACCCCTGAGCCCTCTCTCCAGCCCTGATCCATTGTCTTAATGGCTATTCAGGTATTGGCATTATCACTGAACTTTCTCATAATTTTGGAACTCATGGACAAAGGTGTTTGTGACAAAAGTGTGTAAGGGTTCAACATTAGAAGGCACTGTGAAAGCCAGAATATCCCTGCTGTAGTTTGGGGGTAATCTGGGTTTTCTGGTATATGACTTGTGTGTTCTCCCCCTCAGCCTCAAGCCACATTGGGGATGGCCTCCCAGAAGGCCTGGGGCTGACCCTCCCAGGCCATCAGTCCTCTTTAAGATGCCTTCTGGGAGGCCAGCCCGGTCTATAAAGCCACACAGAGAAACCCTATGGGAGTGGGGGTGCCTCTTGGGTATTTCCAACCCATGGTTCTTAGTTCCCTTCCAGCCTATTTCTTGATCCCTATCCCAATTAAATCACTGCTTGGCCTTTACCTAGAGGATGATGAAATCTGACTAAAGGGTTCATTTTGCCTGGGGGTAGGGGCATGACCTAAAAACAAACAAAAGCAAAACAACAAAACCCACAAAATTGCATTTATTTATCTCTCTTATGCAAAAGTCTTGGCAAATGAATGGAACCATGAGCTTCCCCCATCTTCTTACTCCTTGTAAGAAGTGGGTCCCAGGGATCAAGGCCTTGCCTCCATATTCATGATTGCAAACTAGCAATCTCCTCCACATTGTAAACAAGAAAGGCTGGGGGAGAAGACCTTTGTTGGATTTCACAGTGTTAGGGATTGAGCCCAGGGGCTAGCACACTCTAGGCATATGCTACTGAGCTATAACACCAACTCTTGATTGTCTGAGACAGGGTTTCTCCATGTAGACCAGGCTGGCTTGGAGCTGGTTAGCTTCCTATCACAACATCCTGAGTACTGGGATAACAAGCATGAATCGACCAGTCTTAGCTTAGTGCTTGGCGAAGAACTGATTGAGGGCCAGGCCCAGGCCTGTTGAACCATGTTTTTCTTCTCTGTATGGCTTGGAGTTGTGGAGGAAGCTTCTGGCACCATGGCGCCAATGGCAAATACACAGCTACCAATGCCTCAGGGTCTGCCCTGAGGCCTCAGACTCTCTGCCTCTGCCACTTGGCTGTGAGCTTCTGCAGGAGCTCATGGGGCTGCCGCCGGAACTTCTGCTGTGTGAAGTAAAAGAGGATGGGGTCCAGTACACTGTTGGCACTGGCAAAGGGCCGAGTGCCTTTGTAGGCAGCAGCGAAGGTCTCCAGCACAGGGCAGGAGACACCGGGTGTGGACCGCACAGCTAAGTAGGCTGTCTTAGTGATGTGGAAAGGCAGGAAGCTGATGGCGAAGACAGCTGCCACCACCACCGCCATACGGGCCGCCTTGCTGCGCCGCTCTTGGGCCACAGGTCCTGCTGGGCCATCCTGGCGGCACAGGCGGCGGGCCATGCGGCAGTAGCAGGCCAGTAAAGCTGTGAAGGGCAGCAAGAAGCCGATGACCGTGAGAGCCATGCCATAGGGCAGATAGCGGGCGGACAGAATGGGTGGGCTCAGGTCATAGCAGACAGTGCGGTTGCGCTGGATGCCTGTGGCCGCAAAGATTGCTGTGGGCAGGCACTGAGCTGTCACAACCAGCCACACGACTCCACATACCACCCAGGCAGCACGGCGACCCCCACGCTTGTGCCAGGGTGCCAGGGGGTGACAGATACCCAGGTAGCGCTGGAAGCTAATGCAGGTGAGGAACAGGATGCTACCGTGTAGGTTGGCATAGAAGAGGAAGCGCACGAGGCGGCAGGCAATGTCTCCGAAGGGCCAGTGGTCGCCCCTGGCATAGTTATAGATAAGTAGGGGCAGTGAGCAGGCGTACAGCAGATCTGCCAGTGCCAGGTTCAGGGTGTACACGGCTGACCGGGTCAAGGTCCGGCGGGATGCACAGATCTGGGCGATGACACAAATATTCAGTGGCAGGCCAACCACCAGCACCACTGAGTATACCGGGGTTAGCAGCAGTCGCTTGAAATCCTCACGGTAGACGCAGGTGGTGGGCGGCAAGCCTGGTGCCTGGGTGGTGCCATTGTCCTGCTCCATAATTGCCCAACTGCTTTTCTATGCTTGGAGAATCTGGGGAAGTAATATACACCCTGTCAGTGGCATGCTTACTGGCAACCCAGTTGGCCCATGCCTTTAACCATCTGAACAGGTAAGTCCTTAACTTTGTCACCCCTTAAGGTTCATCACCCTATAAAGATCCATACAGATCTCATCTCATGGAAGTGTGTACTCCAATAAAACTCAAGCTTTAGAGAAATCAAAGTCAATTTCTTTCTCTAGTACTTATTTTCTTATCAGCTTTTCCCAGTGAACTTCTATTCATCCCTCACAACCGTAGTCAATTGTCTCTTCTGTGAGAGGGGGTTTAATGGGTTGGGTTCTAGTCAATTGTCTCTTCTGTGAAAGGGGGGTTAATGGGCTTGGGTTCAAATCACAGCTGTGTTGCTTGCTGCCAGCATGATCTTGGGGTAGGGATTTACCTCCTCACTCTCTCCTATCAGAGGAATAAGAGAATGTTGTCATTAGGGTAGAAGCACACACAGGACTTTTCCCGAGCTCCCTGGCAGGTAGGGATGTGGTACCTGTCTCGTGCAGATGGAAGACCTTTTATGAGGAAGTAGTCTTCAAGGCAGGTTGGGGCCAGGACTGAGAGCTCTGCTGGCTCCTAGTTTACCCCTGTAGACATTGCACACACGGAGAGCTTACTGAGGGAAACACCAGCGTTCTCAGACTGAATTCCACCTTCCAAAGCCATCTTCTTTCAGTCACAGCTTATCTGTAGCACAGCAGAGGTGACTTTAGGGGATGGGGTGGGGTTGTGGGGATGAGGGGTGTGGGAGGAGACTAGAGCAGTTCTGTCATTCAGCTACTGCTCTAGTTCCCAAGTCAGGAGGGTCTGTAACTCCATCTTGGAAGGATCCAATGCCTCTGGAGTTTGCACAAGTACACATGCATGGCTCAGTGGTTAAGAGCACCGGCTGCTCTTCTACAGGATCCCGGTTCAATTCCCAGCACCCGCATGCAACTCACAACTGTCTGACACCCTCACACAGACATACAAACAGGCAAAACAAACAAAAAGTATAAAAAAAAAAAAAAACAGCACCAATAAAAAAAAGCCAGAGATGGTTTCTGGTGGTCAGAGTGAAACTCCAGTTCTCAAGGAGAAACCAATCAGGAACAGAGCTGGCCAAACATTACAGGGATGGAAGCTAGATGTAAATGATAAATAAATAAATAAATAAATAAATAAATAAACTAGTTAGTTAATTAAAAAAAAAAAAAACCTTCCCAGAAGAATGATGGTCCTGGTAGCTGAGGAGGGCTTTCATCAGTAGAGCAGGAAGGAAGAACCCCCAAGAGGGCATAGGGTGGGATAGCATGGGCAGAAGCCGCTGTGTCCCTGTCCTTTGTTAGGGAGGCCTGTGTCTTTCTGACTACACTCCCAGAGGAGCCTTTGGCCACACATGGATGATACTGTAGTGGCCTTTGTTTCTCCAGAACTCTGTGGAGACTGGTCCTTCTAAGATGCCACCCCCTTGGAAGGAGCAAGAGCCGCAGTAAAGGACCTTTGATCTTTGAGTAGACCTCAGGTATCATCTGCTCCACTGATGATACTCCTCTGTCTCTGAGGACCAAGGGAGCTGAGTGTTCCCACGTCAGAGTGAAACTCCAGTTCTCAAGGAGAAACCAATCAGGAACAGAGCTGGCCAAACATTACAGGGATGGAAGCTAGATGTAAATGATAAATAAATAAATAAATAAATAAATAAACTAGTTAGTTAATTAAAAAAAAAAAAAACCTTCCCAGAAGAATGATGGTCCTGGTAGCTGAGGAGGGCTTTCATCAGTAGAGCAGGAAGGAAGAACCCCCAAGAGGGCATAGGGTGGGATAGCATGGGCAGAAGCCGCTGTGTCCCTGTCCTTTGTTAGGGAGGCCTGTGTCTTTCTGACTACACTCCCAGAGGAGCCTTTGGCCACACATGGATGATACTGTAGTGGCCTTTGTTTCTCCAGAACTCTGTGGAGACTGGTCCTTCTAAGATGCCACCCCCTTGGAAGGAGTAAGAGCCGCAGTAAAGGACCTTTGGTCTTTGAGTAGACCTCAGGTATCATCTGCTCCGCTGATGATACTCCTCTGTCTCTGAGGACCAAGGGAGCTGAGTGTTCCCACACCTGCAGGGGGGTAACTAGAGGGAGGGATCCCTGGATCCCAACTGTGAGCAGCAGCTGGTGTTGGCAATCATGCCTGCCATCTACTCCCGGGCCCTAAGTCCTAGACTACTCCAAATTCCAGCTTCTTTCTGGACTCCCTCTTTGCTGCCTGTAGTAGGAACCTTTGAGAGGTTCCTCTGCTCTTGGGGAAACACCTAAGCTCGTCTCCTGGTGTTCATGGCCCCCATCCAGCCCTCTGGCTTTGTCTGAAGATCCCCTCATTCCTACTCTCCCTCACTCATCATACTGTTCCCAGCAATGCACAGCCACTGCAACCGAGACCTACCATCCTCTCTGGCCTGTCCATTTTTGCTGATCTTTTCACAGATGTGTTCCCGGTCCATCTCTGTTAGCCATAACCTAAGCACCCCCAAGCTCAGAAATAAGCACCCCAAGCTCAGAAATAAGCATCCCCCAAACTCATGAGCACATCTCATACCTCCTTTGAGTCCCCAGCTGAATAGACTCCACCAAGCTTGCCAAGGTGTCCAGCCATCCTGTCCCACCCCATACTTGCCCATCTCTTCAAGACACAGACACTCACCATCATAGGTTGATGGTACCAAATGTGTTGGGCAAAGGACACTCGGACACAGTGCTGCCCACGCTCCTGTCCTCAGCCACGCTGTTGATCTCTGGTGTGACTTTGGACAGCTTCCTCTGCTTCCTGACCCTGCTGGCTCTGACTGAAATAGCCCTTGGGGGGCACCTCCCTGCCACCCCTCCCCACACCTTAGCCTGGCGGAAACAGCCTGGAGGAGCACAGGGCTGAACAAAAGGCATCCTTCCCAGAACTGTCTCCAGCCATGGAAGGAGGGGACAAGGGTACAGAAAGAAGGATGGGGGATGAGCAGACGCAGCTCCCAGACCCAGCAGATACCTTTCCACCCAGCTCTCCCTCAGTGTTCTTATCTGTGAAATGGACAGAGATGGGTTATCACAGTTCCAGGTCTTTCCCTTAACTGTAACACCTGAGCCACCACGAATCCATTCCCTTCCCTGATCCCATACTCTTGTACCCACCCCCTACTCTGCCTTTATTTTGGCAGGTCATCTACTGACATTCCTGTCTGTACCTCTTTTGAGATGGCAATCCATTTAGGTACTCGCTTCCCCAGCTACTTCTCACTCTTCCCTTTCCACCTGTCCTCTTTGCCAGAAGTCTTTATTAATCACCTACTGTATGCCATCAGTCCCCCCCCCCCACATCCTCCTATTAGCAGTCACAATCACTTCTACACAGAGACCCAGGTTCATGAGAGTGGGCGTGGTGATGGCCACAGAAATGAGGCTTTAGAGCTGTTGGAACAGCTAGAGAATGGAAGGTGGCTCCGCACTGTTTTTCAGGGTGGAGGAGGTGGCATTCGGGGAGGGTGACCTGAAGATGGGCTTTGGTGGGGAGCCACTGAGGCAAGTGGGTGGGGGTAGGGCAGTGCAGGGAATGAACACCAAGCTGGAAAGTGGGGGCGGGGCTTATCTCCTGCTCTGCTCCCACTCCCATCTGCCTCTCTCAGCTGCTGGCTACAATGTCACAGTTGCTATCTGCATGTTGAAATACCATAGACAGGACTCTTACGCTGTCACTTGTAGAGGGGATTTCTAGAACATAGAGGCCATCGTTGCACTAGCTTACCCCAAGCACAATTTATGGGACTGCGAAAGTTGGGGGGAGGGGCTGAAAATTTGAACCAAAGTGGGATCAGGATTGAACTGCAGGTAAACAAATTGGGCACCTATGGTTTATTTGGGTGTGTGTCAGGAGATCCAAGCAGGCTGGGTGATCTGGCTTCTTGTGGTGTTCCCAGGACAGTCTCCTGTGGCTCTGAGTCAGTCAGGGTTGAGGAAACTTTGAAGGCCCAAGGGAAGATGGCATACTGCTGGCCCTGGGGCAAGGTTTGGGTCACATCTCTAAATGCTTGTGGTTCCTCCAGCGACTGGAGCAGCCCCTGCAGTGAGAGCTTGCAGCCATGAGATGGCGATAGTGGGCAGCTGATGAGGACAAGACTAGTGCCCATGCAGCAGGGGCCTCCTGTCAGGCTGGCACTGAGCAAGCCCAGGACATGTCCCTAGAGCCATTCCTCTGGCCCGCCCCAGATTTCCTCATATTTATCCACCTCAACAAGCCCAGACCTCTGTCTGAATATCACCCTCTCAACACACCTCACAACTGCCATTTGAGTGTCTGGCCAGGAGTATCACCCT